CTCTCTCTCTCTCTCTCTCTCTCTCTCTCTCTCTCTCTATATATATATATATATATATATATATATATATCTTGTTTATTGTTAATGAAAGTACCTATACATTGTTTTATAAGTCAAATAATTACTAAAGTCTGTATCTTACCCTTCCCAAGTTTCCAATTGTACATTCTGACCATTATTACTTTGGTATTTGACTTTTTGCCCCCCTCTGAAAACTTTTATAATCTTCTCTTTATCCTGGTGTTTAAACAATTCACAACAATAACCACTGGTGTGGACATTTTTTCATTTATTGTGCTAGATACTTTAGGGCCCTTTCAGTATGGAAATTCATGTCTGAAAGTTCTGTATAATTTTTAAAAAAATAGATTTTTATTGATTTTCAGAGAGGAAGGGAGAAGGAGAGAAAGACATAAAAACATTAATGATGAGAGAGAACCATTGATTGGCTGCCTCCTGTGCGTTCCACACAGTATCGAACCTGCAACCTGGGCATATGGCCTGATCTGGAATCCATCCCTGACCTCTGGTTTATAGATTGATACTCAACCACTGAGCCAGGCCGGCTGGATCTGTATATTTTTCTTGTATTATTTCTTTGACAGTTTTCTCCATTTTCTGTTTTCTTTTTCTGAAACCTCTATTAGTTTGAAGTTACATCTTCTGACAGTTCTGATCTAATTCTACTCTTTTGTTTGTTCCAACTACTTCATTTTTTTTTGTTGGTTTGCTTTTGTGGGAGATATCTTTATCTCCAGAGACAACTTTATCTTCTAGCCTTTCTATTAAATGTTTTATCTCAGTTATCCTAATTTTTCAATTCAAAGAACTATTCTTTGTTCCCTGATGTTCTTGTGTTACAGTGATCTATTTTGTTTTATGGCTGCTACATGTCTCTTTTTACTATAAGGATATGAATTAGAGTTTCATTTTTAAGTTGTCTTCTGCTGCATGCATTGTGTTATCTCTTCCAGGTTCTTTTTTATATTTTTTTTCAATGCTTTCACTATCATTTTGAGGTTTTCTCCACATATCTGTGGTTGTTGCCTATCTATATTTGAGGCCTCTCAGAAGCTCTTTTTATAGGAACATGGCTTTTTATTTGGTGATCTGGGCTTTTCGTTAGAGTGGCATCCACATCCCAGTATTTTATAAATATTTTTCTCTGGTCTCGTTGAGCTTCTCCAAAGAATGGGAGAGGTGAGAGGAACAGTAACCTGGATGCACAGCACATTGCATGTATGTGCGAGAACATGTGTGTTGGGGGAGTATCCAGTGATGTACTTACATATTGTTATCCTCTGTTTTCAGCCTCACAGCTCTCTCTGCCAACACAGTTCCTTGTGTTCCCAAGGCCTTATCCTTTCTGAGGTCTGTAACCCGAATTAGCTTGCTTCCGTTTGGTGTCCTCCTCCATGGTACCCCGGTTGTGCCTCTGCTCCTCTGGTCAATTACCTTTCCCCCATCTATTCAAGTTTATAAATAATTAATGAATTCTCTTGAGTGTCCTTTTTTCTTTCCTAGTTTTTGTATGTTTATACCTTTTAAGAAATACTTTATTGTGATTTTAATGTGGTTTTGAGAGGAAGAGGTTGAAAGGAACTCATAAGGTCAGTCTGCCATTTTTTCAGAAGTATTCTAAACCCGTGTTGCCACTTCATTTATTATGCTTATTTGATTTTCCTGAAGTGGTGGAAATGTTTCCTTTTGATGTTTAAAACTATGGCAAAAACATTTGATTTACAAAGCCTCTTTTAATTAAGCAGTATGTTATATTGAACATAGCCTAGCATATAAATTACCCTGTGTGTGTTACGAGACTAATTTAACTGATGGCAACATGCAGCAGTAACCTACAGACATGCAGCATGTTCTATTACTGTAGCCTCGAAAATTTTTAAAGACATTGCCTCTGACCTTCCAGACGGCCTTCCCCAACTCTACCATATACTCCAAGATGATGACTTTTTGCAGTTATTTATTAATTGCCTGTCTTTTCTGCTTGTGTTTGCCCTTTAAGGAGAGGTCTTGTGTTGGTCTTGATCACCTTTATATTATCATTGCCTGGTATGGGACATAACCCAGATAGATATGCAATAAATGTTTGTCAAATGAATAAGTTTATATCAAATACTTGCATGGGACCTGCATATTGAAAAGGCGCAACCACAGTCGGTGAGAATTAATAGTTTAATATCTTGTTCAGCTATAGTCATTATTTATAGCATTGGAATTGGGAAGACTTCAGTTAAGGTCAAAATTCCAGGCTTTGGGAAACCAAATCACGTGACACTATATTTATTTTAATTGTGCAAGTTTATCTTGCCAAAACTTTTTTAGTAAACATGGCCTTGAACTTTATTAATATTATAAAGAGATGTTGACAAGATTCTGTTTAGAACCTTCTAGTTTTAGCCTTAAAGTCTTATTTTTATTAATGGAAAAAAAGTTTTGTTCTATAACTGCATTTTTATTTCAGATCCAGAATTACTTTACTAGATTGCTTAACATACTTTAATCCATTGTTTCACTTATTATACAGAACACATGATCTATTTTATGATTTGTTAATCTTAAGAAGCTCTAAGCAACTTATTTTTATTCTCAAGTAAAAAAGAGAACAGTGTTTGTATCTTTCTTGTTTATTTCTATAATAATTGCCAGTAATCATTCATTTTTAAGTTTCTTTCACTTTATCTCTTTTCCAACTTCTTTTTAGGACAGCACATTTTGAGACAAGGTAATGCTTCTTCTTTCAGAATATCGAAGATTTTGCCAGATGTTTAAAATACAAACATTACAGAGTGAGGGAAGTCACATAGAAATTGAAGATAGGTTAATTTTGTGTAAAATAATGTTGTATAGGAAGCTAAATTAGGCAATCACCTCTTTTGTTTTTTTTTTTAATCACTTTGTCCTTCTAGTGGCCCGACCATGGTGTAAATTCACATATGAAAATGTGTAGTGTTTTTTTTCCCTAAGTAAATCGCAGTATAATATTTGAATGAATTTGGAAATAATATTCCTCCTCTGGCTATACAAAACCTGGAGTTATAGAAATGCATGCACCTGTTGTCTGGGTTGCAGTGAACGATAGTTACAGCATTTTATGGGTATCCTTTTATTTAGATTCACACAGGGAATTAGGAAATGAAATTGTCATGACCTTGAATTTAAATTTTAAAAAATTTAACATCTGTAATTCTCTTCCAAGACTTAGAAATTGTCCAGAAATGCATATTAATCAGTTTGAGTGAAAGTGTATGTAATGGTCAATGTAATTTCCACATTCAAAATAAATAAATAAAAATACTAAATTGTATTTCAAATTGGAATTCAGGTAATACTATTGGGATTTAATGTAATTTCCAACTTGATTCTCATAGACCTGGGTCAGGGATCAAGCCTGCAACTGAGTTACGTGCTCTTCACTGGTAATCCTCGACCCTTTGTCTGTGGGCCACTGCTCTAACCACTGCACAACCAACCAGGGTACTATTACATCTTTTAATTTGCTTCTGTTTTGCATTTTCATGATTAAATAGGAGTTTTAAATGATAAAATGAATTTTTAGCTTACTCGTGAAATGTAGTTTTTCAATGAATATTTTTACATTTTCACAACTTTTGCTGTTCTAATTATTATGTTACTAGAGGCCCAGTGCACGAATTCATGCATGGGTGGGGACCCTCTGGGTGGCCTGCAGGGATTGGATCGAAACCTGCGGTCCAATGCCGCTTG